ATCGGTATTTAATAAAATCGGAAGATCGAAAAGTAACGTGGTTTTTCGCGTTTCGCGTTACACGTTGCGCAACCGTTCGCAATAATTGCCGGAAAAATGAACCGTGAGAATGGTTGACGCACCAATTAATCAATTTATTAACCTTCTTAAAGAGTTTGCCTTATGCAGCCGCATTTATCGTATCAAATTCGATAGAAGAGATAGGAAGATATAATAAATAATGAACACGAAAGACTGTCTACATTGATATAACCTATAACCATAACTGTCCATCGCGATCGCGCTTTAAACATTTTTCAACGATAGAAACAACGATAGAAAATGCCTGGTTAAAATATATTCGATCGCCCCACTGGTTAAAAAATATTCGATCGCTCACTGGTTAAAAAATATTCGATCGCTCACTGGTTAAAAAATATTCAATTACTCACTTATTAGTAGAATATCCAAATACGTATGCTGCTGCGAAAAATTTTCAATAGATGCGCACTACGCATTTAAAACGTATAGACGCGCGCAACGCAGTGAACACGTGTAGTGAAATAAATCGTGGGAATAGTTGACGCACCAATTAATCAATTTATTAACCATCTAAAAAATTTGCCTATGCAGCCGAATTTATTGTATTAAATTCGATAGAAAAAATAGGAAGAATGCTGGTTAAAACGTAATAAATAATGAACACGGAAGACTGTCTATCGCGATCGCGCTTTAAACATTTTTCGAAGAACGATAGAAATGACTACTGATTAAAAAAAAATTCGATCACACACTGGTTAAAAAATATTCGATTACTCACCGATTAATAGAATACCCAAATACGTATGGCTGCTGCGAAGAATTTGCAATAGATGCGCACTACGCAGTTAACACGTGTAGTGAAATGAACCGTGGTAATAGTTAACGCACCAATTAATCAATTTGTTAACCATCTAAAGAGTTTGCCTATGCAGCCGAATTTGTGGTATTAAATTCGATAGAAGAGATAGGAAGAACGCTGGGGTAGAACGTAATAAATGAACACGAAAGACTGTCTATCGCGATCGCGTTTTAAACATTTTTCGAAGAACGATAGAAAATGCCTGGTTAAAAACTATTCGATTACGCACTGCTTAACACGTTGACTGCCACGCGTATTTACAACAAAATCTCCTACAGGCCACCCGTGCCGCTATAGAAAGCGTGCGCTATTAATTCATGTCTGTTTCTGTTCCTGCATGAACAGTTGGAATCTTTGCCGAGTACCTAATGGTATAACTTAAAATCTCTGCCCTTATTTTTTTTCAATAATGAAAAGAGATCGGATTGCCTGGAAGGAGAAGCATAAATAGAACTACATCGTCAGATTTTGATTCGGATACTGATAAATACAATCTTAGTGATAATGAATGTTATGAAGATACTATTGACGAGATTTTACGAGAATTGGTCATGGAAGAAGAAAGAAATGTTGATGATACCGAGAAAGCTACAGTTCAAATAAAAGATACGAAATGGACCGATCAGAGGCACGAGCAAATCTGAAAAAACCAACAACTTTTTGTCCAAGCTGTCCTGTTCAACCTCAACTTTGCAGAGAATGTTTTAATGTTATACACTGCGAATAATCTTTTTAATAAACCATTTTTATAAGAATCCAATAGTTTCATTACCTCCTGTAGAATATTTGTCGAAATATTTTCGGAAATCCTTTGTAAGTAGTCAAATCAGCG